GATCTGGATCGGCCGTTCGCAGCTGCCTGCATGAGGATATGACATCGTTGTCTATATTAATCTCACGGCTGGATTCACATGACTCATTTGCTTCCTCCCCCACACTACACCCATTACATGAAAAGGAAATAACCTGGGTTGTGTGTTGTTTTTTTAAAAAAAAGATATAAATTTTGAGAAATAAGCCTCAGCATTGCTGCAGTCTATATTTGAAAAGCAGCCACTGCAGCAGCGGGGGTGGTGGAACCAGGGAATGGAGAAATTACTCATTTACCTTCTTAAATGGAGTTAGATGTGCCAAGCAGGCTTCTCTGAGCACACGGTCTGTACTGTTGATTTCCTTTTTTCTCCCTGCAGGATTCTTACTAGGACAGGCAGGGAAGCATTGCGCAAAGTGTGGGAATGGTCATTTAAGGGTGCTTTTGGGGATTTATTGCTGGGGAAGCTGCCGCCTTCATCTTTTGGCAACGATAGACGGCAAATAATACACAGCCATTTGCCAAAAAAAGGAAACTTGCTGTGCTGTGCTTGTAATATCCATCCGAGGACTCCTGCCTGCCTCACATATGAATGCAAGAGTTGCTCCACTAGATCAGACCAATCTAACCCATCGCTCTGTACTCACAGTGGGTGGCACTGTGGTCTAAACCACTGACCCTCTTGGGGTTACCAATCTGAAGGTCAGCGGTTTGATTCCCTGCAATCGGGTGAGCTTCCGTTGCTCTGTCCCAGCTCCTGCCAACCTAGCAGTTCAAAAGCATGCAGTGCAAGTAGATAAATAGGTACTGCTGTGGTGGGAAGGTAAACAGCATTACTGTGCGCTCTGGTTTCTGTCACAGTGTTCTGTTGCACCAGAAGCAGTTGAGTCATGCTTGCCGCATGACCTGGAAAGCTGCAGACAAATGCCAGCTCCCTCAGCCTGAAACAAGATGAGCGCCACACCCCATAGTTGCCTTTGACTGAACTTAACCATCCAGGGTCCCTTTTTTTTACCCTTACTCACAGTGGTCAATCGGTTGCCCACAGGAAGCCCTCAGTTGCCACTATGCTATGCTGCCAGACTGACAGCCCTGGCGCTAGCAGTGTTCTGCATGGTGGGGGTACTTACTTCAAATATCTAAAGGGCCATCACGTGGAAGATGGCACTGGCGTCAACTATAGGGGCCCCTGTTTTTTGTGGGTCCTCAGCACCCACAGCGAGGGACCTCCAACATGACTTCTGACGCTTCACCAGGCTCCGGAAGTCGCATCAGGGATCTCGGGTGGCTTCAGAGGTCGTGTCAGAGACCTTGCAGGTCATGAGGCCCCAGACACAACTTCTGGGGCTCCCAGGCACCGCTGCAGCACATACAACATGGCATCACATCGCAACGTGACAGTATGACGTCACGATACGTTGCACGCGCCACTGGACACCGACAATCTGGGACCCAAGTTGGAAGATGGAGCATGCTTGTTTTCTCCTGCTCCAGAGTGTAGGTCTCAAACCAATGGATTCAAGTTGCAAGAAAGGAGATTCTGACTCAACATCAGGAAGAACATTCTGACAGTAAGAGCAGTTCTTACAAGGTGGAACGGTCTCCCTTGGGAGGTGGTGGACACTCAGAGCCGTCTTTCCCATTGGGCTTAGTGGTGCGTCACGCCAGGGCACCAGCCTCTCAGGGGCGCCCCAGCAAGTGGGGGAGCTGTGCAGCTTTGCAGGTGGTCTCCCCTTTTCCTGCACGCCCACCAGCTGCACCCCTCCAACCATATGGCTGGTGGGCATGCAGCTAGCCTCCCAAGCCCCTGCGGGAATCACTCTCCTCCCAAGGAGGCTTGGGAGGGAAGCTATGTTCTCCTCCCAAGGAGGCTTGGAAAGGGTGCAACTTCACTCCCAAATCTCTGTGGGGATTGCTCTCCTGCAGCGGCTTGGGGGAGAGTTGCGCCCCCTGATGGCTGGCAGTGCGCAGCTACGGCCACCCCAACACTATCCGTGGTAATTTGGGAGTGCTGGGCAGATATTTGCACCCCAGTGCCACATCTGCTAAAGACGGCCCTGTGGACACTCCTTCCTTGGAGGTTTTTAAGCAAAGGTTGGATGCCAATCTGTCATGGATGCCCTGTATACCCAAAGGGTCATCTCTGCCCCCATCATTCAGCCTGGACACTGAGATTCAGCTCTGAGGGGTCAAGGCGGGTCACAGATCTGACTTGCTATGAGGCAGTTTAGGAACCCAGAAGACAGCACAAATTGTGTTATGTTAAAGGAGCAAAAAGAGGCTGCCTTCCTAATAATAGTAAATGAAGTGATTCTTTCAGTTCTTTGCAGTTACTTAATGACTAAGGACAAGGCTGCCTGAGAGTCGTTCCACAAAAGAGCGATGGAAGTGGCAGCGTGATACATGGCTCCCGTCAAAAATGGCAAGAGATTGATATCTGAAAAAGGAAAAAGGAATCGCAAGACGAAGAATTCTACTGGAAGCCTCTTAGTATGTGAGTTCCTGAACTGTATTTTGAACCACGGCTGAGGGCTCAGGTGGTTAATGAATATTACCTGTATGTGTATGGGCCATTTTTATGTTATACTATATGATTACAGTGGTACCTCTGGTTACAGACGCTTCAGGTTACAGACTTCGCTAACCCAGAAATAGTACCTCTGGTTAAGAACTTTGCTTCAAGATGAGAACAGAAATTGTGCGGCAGTAGCGGGAGGCCCCATTAACTAAAGTGGCACCTCAGGTTAAGAACAGTTTCAGGTTAAGAACGGACCTCCGGAACGAATTACAGGTAAGTTCTTAACCCGAGGTACCACTGTATTTGTCAATACAGTGGTGCCTCGCAAGACGAAATTAATCCGTTCCACGAGTGTCTTCGTCTAGCGGTCTTTTCGTCTTGCGAAGCAACCCTATTAGCGGCTTAACGGATTAGCGCTATTAGCGGTTTAGCGGCTATTAAAGGCTTATCGGCTTAGCAGATTAGCTGCTAAAAGGCTATTAAAGGCTTAGCGGCTTAGATAAAGGGGGGGAAGCAGAAAAATAATCTCAAGACTCGCAAGACATTTTCGTCTTGCGAAGCAAGCCCATAGGGAAATTCGTCCTGCGAAGCAACTCAAAAACGGAAAACCCTTTCGTCTAGCGGGTTTTCCATCTTGCGAGGCATTCGTCTTGCGGGGCACCACTGTATTACCAAAGGTATAAATTCAATCTCAAAATAGCAACAACTGGTTTAAGAAGGCAGTGATGGCCACCAACAAATGAGACTTTAAAAGAGGGCTATCGACAGCTGCATGATGACTCCATAGTGGGAGGCAGCAATGCGTCTAGATACCTGTTACTGGAAAGCACAGAAGAAGAGGGTGCTCTCGTGCTTCTCTCCTGCTTGCAGGGTTCCCAGAGACACCTGGTGGGCTACTGTGAGAACAGGATGCTGGATTAGATGGGACAGTTCTTATGTTCCTTGATAAACCTGATTGCAGTACAGTAGTAGCTTCCACCAACATTCGAGATAAATGCATGTTATGCCAGTTAGAAAATGGAGCAAAAAGGGGCACGTCAATTTTCAGCGTTTTTAGAGTGCTGTAACTGTTACATTTTTATTTTGGATCAGTTTGACATTTGGCACATTTGAAGATCTCATTAAATGGATCAGGTATGCCAAGTTTCAGTTTATAACTCAAGAGGTGCCATTTACATAAGCCATAGATTTTTCAGGCTTACAATAACAGAACCATCCCCCCCCTTGTCTCATCTTAATTGCCCCTCCCCACATAGAAAAATATCATGCTAGTTTATTCTTTGCAACCTTTATAAACTGCCTTTCAACTCTCAAGGGCCTTTATACCTGACTTGCCAATTTTCTTTATTCTGCTGAGTGTATTAATTGCTACGAAGTCATCTTACTTTCTTTTGAATAATGTTGATGTCTTTCGAGTGGCACACATTCAACACACTGGTAAGAGCTCGGCTTCTGGAGTTTGCCCCCCCCTCCAATTATGGGAGTGGCAGTGGACTTCACCCCCAGATTTACCCTAGTGTAGGGTTGCCATATTTCAAAAAGTGAAAATCCGGACACAAAAACTGTTGAGCTTTTTTTTTTAGTTTTGCCATACATCCAGATTTTCCTGGACAGTTCAGCAATTTTGACCCAGACACTGTTTACGACGGCCGAATCCTGGCTAAATTCTGGCCATATGGCAACCCTACCCTGGTGTAAGCCTGCAAATAACAATCTTGCATTCTTAATTTTGTTTTTAAAGAGATTCTAAATGCAAGCGAGATATTGACAAACAAAAGCTATTTCTGTGAATTTTTTCACTTATTGATTCAACCTCACCTGCTGCTACTATTACTACTACTATTACTATTATTGCTGTTGTTATTAATGCATTTGCAAAAAAGCACAAAGCAGTAAATCAGCCCTGGTAAACGGAGGATCAATAGCCACCTCTGCCTCTTTTTATGAGATGTGGAGCACGGCCTGAATCTGTCAAACTGAATTAGTGAGCCTGCGGGTGTCAGGGAAGACTCAAACAAATAGACCCGCCACGTTGTTCATTGATAGAAGGCTTAGATCTGTGCTGTTGTCATCATTAGTGCTCCCTCTCCTTCTCCAAAGACCCTTTTTGCAAATGCTAACCCTGCTAGATAAAGGGCAAGCCAGTCACCTACAGTGGTGCTTGTCTGCTTGCTTGCATTGGATGAGACACAATGCAGAGATTTCGAAAAGGACTAACCATTTCAAAACATTGCAGAACGCCTTTGTCGCAATCTCATCCTAAGAGGGATATGGCTGGCGCCAAGGGCTGATGACATCAGGCCATGAAGACTTGACTGAATCACCAACTGGCATCAACACCATGTTTGTTCTACCCACTGTGCTTGGAATGAGGTTAGTGGCAGAAAATACTTACATAGGGAACATTATAGGAAGTTGCCTCATGGTGAAACAGACCAGTGGTCCAACAAGCTCAGCATTGCACCTCTCTGGGGTTTCAGATGAGGGACGTATCAAGCTCTACCTGGAGGTGCCAGGGATTGAACCCAGGACGTTCTGCATGGAAGGTAGATGCTATGCCACTGAGCTATGGCCCCTGCCCTGGTGTGATGGCCTGGGATTCGGACTCGGAGGCTGAACCTGAGGAATCCCAGCCTGCACAGGAGTCCCCGCCTCCAGAACCAGCTGAGCCGGGGCTGGGGCTTGAGCCTGAAGGGTCCTCACCTATGCAGGATCCTCAGGTGCAGGCATCAGCTGAGTCTGCTCTGGCTCCTGAGGTGATGGAGGACCCATTGCCTGCAGATGCTCCACTCTCAGCCCCGTCAGGGGAAGCTGAGGTTGCCTCTGGGTCCGGTAACCCTCCAGCCTCTCCTGAGCTGCAGAGGCTCAGGGCAGAGAGGCGGAGGGAACTAAGTTCCCGCAGAAGGAGTGCTCGCCTTCAGGCCAGGAGAGGCGAGTCACCTGTGGACCGGGGCCACCCTATGCCTTGGGGCAGATAAAAGCCAGCCAGCCCCAGTCCCAGGTTGCGGGAGCAACATTGCTGGTAGCCTGTTCCTGCCTACACCCTGTCCTGCTCTTCTGCCAGAGTTCCTGACCTCACCCGACTCCCTGCCTTGGACCCAGCTTCAGCCTTGACAGACAGCCTCCATACTGCACCCTTGACCTCGGACTGGACTCAAACCTCGCCGCACGGTTAACCCTCGGGACCGGCACACCTTGGCTTTTCCTGATGCCAAATTACATCATAATGCCTTGTTCCCTATAGCAGCCCAGGCCCAATCAGGTTGGAAAGGAAGAGAGAAGGGACCTCCAAGGTAAACTGAGATGACAGAGTTAAATAAAAATGCCAACATTTCTCTGATGAAAATAGGAACGTTTGTTATTATTATCATCATCATCATCATCATCCCCCTCAACTGGCTTGCCCAGCTATTCTGGGCAGCTTCCAACATATATAAAAACATAGGTAAAGGTAAAGAGACCCCTGACCATTAGGTCCAGTCGCGGACGACTCTGGGGTTGCGGCACTCATCTCGCTTTATTGGCCGAGGGAGCAGGCGTACAGCTTCTGTTTTTTTTTAAAAAAAATAATATTTATTGATAATTTCAAAATTACAGGAAAAATAAAAAATAAAAAACAACACTACAATACAAAAAAAGAAAAAAGAAAAAGAAGACAATAAAAAAGAGAAAAGCACAAAATGTGAAAACCAATATGACAATACAGCAATAAAAAAAAGGAAAAAGAAGGAAAAAAAGAAAAAAACACAAATCCCAAATTGCATATCCATAATTTCCATTTGCTTGTTTCATTGACCTCCTCACACCTCCGTTTTTGTGTTCTAGTTTAGTATTTATTTCAGCAAATTCTTTCCATCTTTCTCAATTTTTGTTATAAAATTTATTTTAACAATTTAACCTAATAATTAATTCAACAAATCCTTACCATCTTTCCCCATATTCTATTATTCAGATTACCTTAATTTATTTAACCTTATCCTACCCCTAAGTGCCTTAAAACTTAAATCTTAAATTTCAAATATACATAGCTCCTGATATCATTTCTGCTAGAGTCGTATAGTTTCATTCCCACATTTCCCCTCCTAGTCATTAGCTGATTCTAAAATAAAAAAGTTTCCATTATAAATTCTCTTCCAATCATCATCCAGCGTCTCTTCTTCCTGGTCTCAGGTCATGTCAGTCCTTATTGTCCATTCCGTCTAGTCCATCAACCTGGAAGCCTTATGTCTGAGGTCCTTAAATCTCTTCCATGTCCCTTCTGCAACTCTTCTTCATCTTGTTTGTGCTTGCCCTTTTCCTTGTCTCTTGTTGGTCTCTGTCATTGAGGAGTAGGTCTCTGGGGGATTCCAACCCAAAATTGTCTCCATCACCCTTCATCCAGCTCACCCATTCCCCACAGTCCCACTCCCCACAGTCCTCGATATAATCCAAAATAAATTTAAAATCAAATTTCAAGATCTCTCCAAAGCTAGGAACCTCCTCATCTGCAGACTCCCCTTGGCCCACTCCAACTTCAATCTTCAATAGCAGCGGCTTATGCTCCTGTAGGGCCTCGGGTCTCTCCATTTGTACTATTTGAGGTGCAGCCACATCCTCCTCCATTGTCAACTGCACTTGCCCAGTCGGTACAGATTGATAGGTTGGTTCTTGGATGATTTCTGTATCAATGTTATTAACCACAACAGTCAAATCCATTTTCTCATTCATCAAGTCCATCTTTTCATGCATCTGTTCCAGCAAAGCATTTGTCTTGCATAGAGCAAGCAGCCAGTCTTTCTCCCAGCTCATCTTTGTTCAAGGTCAGAAAAGACTGTTCCCACAGTCTTAATCTCACAGATGTTGGGTCTCAAATATGCTGCAACAACAATTTAGCAAGCTCCTCTAGAGGAGACAATCTACTTGTATCCATTTTTTTTTTAAAAGACAAAGGAAAGTTACTTTCATTTTTCAGATATTTCAGACGTTTTTCAGATATTTTGTTTCTTTAGGATGCAAAAGGCAACATTAGAATCAACTTGTTTCTCTTCATTGGCTATCTGTCAAAGTGTTACGTTCACAGTCAATGAACCTCTCCAACAGTTTCTGTCTCTGACACCCCGTTCCCAGGTTAGAGACGGTGGAAACTTATCCTTCTTCACTCCCTCTCCTGCTAGGGTTAAACAGAGTCCCCCCCCCCTTTTCTCCTGCTTCCAAGGGGGGTTTCAGTGGTTCTAAATGAAGGAAATTTAGTCCTTTTTTGACAGCTTCCCGGCTTTAGCTTGCAAAATTTTTGCTTTAGTCTATATACAAAAAAGCGGAAGGCGGACTTCCTGTTTGCACCTTCCCGCTTCGATATCAAATTAAAACAATTTCTTGATCCAATTTTCCGTTTCTACACACGGGTACTTGTTTTAAGTCCAATTGTCCACAGGAAAAGTCAGCGCTCTCTGGCAATGGCTGTGCGGCTTCACTCCGTGAAAGCAGCAGTCAGTTCGTAGCACCGCGCTTCTCACCCCACTTCGCTCCGGAGCCCCTAGATGGGATTCCCCACGAGTAGGGGGGCGCTTCTGGTGCGGGCGTACAGCTTCTGGGTCATGTGGCCAGCATGACTAAGCCACTTCTGGCAAACCAGAGCAGCGCACGGAAACGCCGTTTACCTTCCTGCTAGAGCGGTACCTATTTCTCTACTTGCACTTTGAGGTGCTTTCGAACTGCTAGGTTGGCAGGAGCTGGGACCGAGCAACAGGAGCTCACTCCATCCCGGGGATTCGAACCACCGACCTTCTGATCGGCAAGCTCTAGGCTCTGTGGTTTAACCCACAGCACCACCCGAGTCCCATAAAAACATAATAAAACATTAAACATAAAAAAACCCTTCCCTATACAGGGCTGCCTGCAGAGGTCTTCTGAAGGTTGTACAGTAGTACCTCCAGTTATGAACGGGATCCGTTCCGGAGGCCCGGCCTTATCCTAAAAAAAATTTCAAACGGAGGACTGCTTCTGTGCACTGTGCTGCAGAGCGCTTCTGTGAATGCGCAAAGCGCACAGAGAGCTTCTGTGCACATGCGAGTGGCAAACCCACTTCTAGGTTTGCCGCAGCCGTAACCCGAAGATTCCATAACCCGGAGGTTACGCAACACGAGATACCACTGTATAGCTACTTATCTCCTTGGCTCAGGGCTAGCATAACTCTATACCTCCCAACATTTCTCTGATGAAAATAGAGACATCCTAAGGAAAAGTGGGACATTCCGGGATCAGAAATGGGGATTGCTTCTGTAAATCTGGGACTGTCCCTGGAAAATAGGGACACTTGACAAAGATGACGAAAAGGAGGCGGGGGTCATTTTGGTGGGTTCTAAGGGTGATGGCAGTGGATAATGAAGGGTATTCAAACACATCATAGTGGGGATCATCCTCCCGAGGTCTTGCAATCACAGATATCCAAAAAGAAGGCCCATCCCCTTATGTCTTGCTCCAAAGGCACCCCTCACATATTGCCCCAACGCCCTTGCCCACACATCTCACTTCAATCCCTCCTCCTCTCACAGATTGCTCCAAATGCAACTCTTCCATCACATCTCACCTGAAACCTTCTTCCTTACCTTCACCCGGGCAGGTGGGTTGGTAAGAAGAAGGTTGGATCCATGTGGGGTGCTCTATGGGGGAGCCAGGGAAGATTTCCCCCCTCCTATCTCCCACAACCAGTGGCAGTGACAGGGGAAGAACGGGAAGGCTTGCTCACCTGCCTCCAGTTACCTAGAGGTTGTTCAGCTGCCAGAGCAGGTCCCTATCAACCCTCCTTCTTTGCAGCTGCTTTCTTCTTCCTTGGCATCTAATGCTGCTGAGGCCAAAATGGTGTCAGAAGTGTCCGGCGTGCAGCAGCAGAGCAGGACGGTTAAAGAGGAACTGCTCCAGCCTCTCCTGGCTGTTCCACCCACACCTGCACCACTTGTTTGCTTACCTGCCAGCCTATTGGCAGCCATGCAAACTACAGAAAACACTTTTTTTCTTTACAAAAATATTATATAGTAAGAAAGACAGAAAGTGGACAGTGATGAGAGAACGGCAGCAGCTACTGCTCTCCGTGGCATCACATTTGCCCGTTCATGCTGGTGTTTTGGGCATTGGTGCAACTGCCTAGTAAGCTCACTGCAAGGGCTTGTAAGGGGGTAACATTGACAGACATCTGACCAAACCTGGCAATAGTCCTGCACATGGAAGTCAGCTGTTCAGCCACTGTTCCATATAAATTTCTGGTGAATTCTATGCTTCTTGCTGCAGAAGCGGAACGAACAGATTGCAAGTGATATTTTGGCCATGAGATCAGCGATCCCCTCCACGTGTCGATGGAGCAGAGGCACACGGAAGAACTGTACCAGCGTACCCTGAATATCTCAGCAGGTCAGGCTGCTCAGCTTTGTTGATTCTTGCTTCCTTCTCCGGAATAAATTCTCACGCACAGCCCACGAAGAACAGCAGAATGCAAATGTCACACACTTAACTGCTCTGCTGATGCCTATAATGCAAATATGAAATATATAAAGGCATTTCTGCAACCTATTCTTTTCCGCACGCATACAAAAAGAGAGAGAGA